TTTTCCAATTCTTGAAGTATGCTGCTAATCGCTATATAAACAGTAGAAACCCTCCCAATCTCCTATACTATGCTACCCGTTTTCACGAAGTTTTTGACCATATAGGTGTTTTTCAAAACTTATTTACCAAATGGTACTTTTAAACTTATTTACCATATATGGCTATTTAGCAATTTAATAAAAAAACACCGTGCCCTAATTTACTTTCTTATTGAAATCGATTTCTTACAATCGTCTTCTTCCCTGGGTAAAAAACGACGGCACAACTTCCCGCAAGACCATCATCTCCGACACACCTATACCGGCGACCCCAACGACGACGACGACAACTCCATCAACGACTTCATCGGCGATATCGATTCAGGTACGTTTTCGAATTATAACTTCGATTTTTAGGTTGTAATTGCTTCAATCACATGTTTGTTAAGTTGTAATTGCATCGATTTTTAGTTTAGCTTCATTTGAAGTTTGAATTTTGATTTCTACATTTGTGAAATCAATTTTTGATTTCAATATGTTCAGTCACATGTTTGTTTGTTTGATAGGATGATGTTTGATTGTTGAGTTTTGATTTCTAATTTGTATTTGCTTTGATTTCTGTTTTGTATTTGCTTCAATCACACTTAATGAGTTTGAGATCTGGTTTCTATTTGGTTGTATATGCAAGATGTGTTGATTTATCTATTGATTTCTGGTTTCTTTTTTGTTTTTCTGATTTTATGTATTTGATTGTAGATGGATGCTAATGTCATATTAGACATTTTTCAGAATGAGGATTTCCACTCAATATCTCAAGTTGTTGCAAGCAATGAAATAGCAATTGATAATGAAGTTGCTGCAAATGATGTGTTAGAATAAGATGAAATTGGAGAAGAAGATGAAATTAGAGAAGAAGATGATGAAGAATCTTTTGAAGTTCCTTCAACTTTTACTAGTACGGAAGAAACAAATATGACTACTGATAATCAGTGGATTGTGTCACAATTAGCGAGAAAGAATGATTTTACACAAGAGTTGGGAAAAGATTCTTTCAAGGATAAAGAAAAAATTATTAGAGCTATCGAGCTTTATAGTATTAGGACACATAAACAGTTTGAGGTTGTTGAGACACGTCCAACTATATGGACCATAAGATGCAAGTTACATTTACAATCTGGTTACAAAATGGCAAGTTCGTGCAATCAAACAAAAACGACGTGGATATTTTGAAATTGCAAAGTACACCAGTCCATATACTTGTTTACACGATAATATTTCTCAAGACCATCCAAACCTATATGGAAGCTTGATAGCCCAGGAAACCAAACATCTTATTAAAGAGCAACCTTCAATTAGTATTCCTGCTTTGAGAGCTGAAATAGTCGATAAATTAGGTTATATTCCTTCATACAAAAAGGTTTGGACCGGAAAACAGAAGGCAATTGAACAAGTGTTTGACAAATTGGAAGAATCTTATTCTGCTTTACCCAAATTTTTATGCGCATTTACTATAGTCGAGTGGTTAGTTTCGAGATCAACCAATGAAGAACCCATGGAATTTAGACATGTTTTTTGGGATTTTGCCTCTTCTATTAAAGGGTTTGTACATTGTCGACCGGTGATTAGTGTTGATGGCACACATTTGTATGGTAAGTACAAGGGAACAATGGTGATTGTAATGGGAGTTTATGGTAATAATCAGATTTTGCCACTAGCATTTTCTATTGTAGGAAATGAATCATATGATAGTTCGAATTGGTTTCTTTCTTATATTAAGATTCATGTGGTAAAAGTGCGTGAAGCCATTTGTTTAATTTCTGATCGTCATCTTGGAATCCTAAACGCAGTCAATCAACATGGATCGCTATGTTTAGAGCCACATGGTTTTCATAGGTCTTGTTTATAACACACATTATGTTTTTTTTTAACTTTATAACTCATATTATTGTTGTTTATTTTATAGGTATTGTTTACGTCATTTTATCAACAACTTTTATGAGAAGTTTCGTAATTCAGAATTGAAAGGTCTAGCTTATCGTTCCGGGAGTCAAAATCAAGTTCGAAAATTCAACTCAACCATGGAAAAAATTGGGAAGCTAAATCCACAAGCTAGGCAATGGCTAGAGAGTCATCCACTTGATAGATGGACACTTGCACATGATGTTGGGAGGAGATATGGGTTGCTCACAATAAATTTGTCTAAGATTTTTAATAGTGCCCTTAAAGGTGCCCGTTTTTTACCAATCACGGCTTGTGTCCAACTTAATTTCTATAGATTGGTGCTTTACTTTGAGGTGAGACGTCCTTTAGGAAATAGTTCATGAGCTAACGGAGATCCATATACCCCTCATGTTCTTGTCAAACAAGTAGCTTTGATGTGAAAAACAAGGGCATATTCCTTGAGATCTTTTAATCGAGAGAAAGGTATATTTGAGTTGATAACTCAAAGAGGAAGAAATGTGCAAGTTAATTTGAAGAAAAAAACTTGCACATATGGTAAGTGGGAAGTGTTTAAATATCACTGTTCTCATGTCTTGAGTGCATGTGTCACACTTTCTTTGAATAATTGGTAATATGTTGATAAATGTTACTCAATTGTAAAGTATTGTGATACTTGGGCTTCTGAATTTTCCACACTTCCTCATGAAGCGTATTGGCCACAATCATTGTTTAAAGAACTGCTTCCAAATTTAGAGTTCTTACGGAATAAAAAATGTCGTCCGCGCTCAACAACACTTCGAAATGGAATGAACATTAAAGAAGGAAGAAAAACGAACATTTGTGGAATTTGTAAGCAAAGTAGTCACAATCGAAAAAAATTGTCTTTCTAAGCCAAGCTAAATTAAGATAGTGGTTAGGGCTGTAAACGAACTGAACGTTCGGCGAACTGTTCATGAACTGTTCGGCGGGAAGTTCATTTATTTAATATATGAACGAACATGAACGTAAATTCTCGTTCGTTTAGTTAAACGAACGAACATGAACAATGATCTCGTTCGTTCAATTATGTTCGTGAATGTTTGTTTATGTTGTTCGCTTATATTAGTTTATGTTCGTTCATTTAAGTTCCTTTTATGTTCATATATGTTTAATTATGTTTGATTACATTACTATATTATATGTTTGTTTATGTTCATATATGTTAGTTATGTTTATTTATCTATGTTCGTTTATGTTTATGTATGTTAATTATGTTTATTTATCTACAATCGTTTATGTTCATTTAGCTTGTTCAGGAACATAAACAAACGAATATGAACAACGTAAATTTTCAAACGAACGAACATGAACACGAAAATTTGTTCGTTTATTCGTTCGTGTTCGTTTATTTGTTTGGCTAACTTAAACGAACGAACATGAACACACCCTTGTTCGTTCTCGTTCGGTTCGTTTACAACCCTAATAGTGATTATCAAATCAAAGTTATTCGTATAACTTTATATCTTATTATTTTATTTATTTATTTTTTGCAGATAGTTGTGTTATCGAATCAAAGTTATTTGGAATGTTTTTTATTTTTTTTTGTCCTTTGTACCAAACGATTGTTGGGTTTGTATTTAAAATATTTTATTTATTGAAAAAAATCATTTATCTTATTGAATTTTTTTAGTTTAAGATGATGTTTGTTGGTTTAGATTTAAAAAGTTTTTTTTTTTTTGGTTTTTATAAAAAGATATGTTAGTTATAATGATAGTTTATAAAAAAAACAATTAATAAATATTAAAAGCTAAAGCAACGCAAACAAATAAAAAAACAAAAAAAATTATATTAAATACATAAAGAATAAGTTAGTGTGAAGGTTTTAGAATTAGTTACTTTTTGATCTATGCAAATGACATGTTTTAAAAAAATAAGGAAATGAGCATCACATATTTTAAAAAATAAAATAAAAGAGTAAATTACAGGAATGGTCTCTACGGTTTATGGTAATTTGCGTGTTTGGTCCATAATTTATTTTTTTAATTCGGAAGGTCCATACAGTTTGTTTTGGTTACACGTTTGGTCTCCGTCTTACCCAAAAACACTATTTTGCCCTTGTTTTTTTTAATTTATTTAAATAAACACACCCCAACCCAACCTCACCCTTCACCTTACCTTACCTACATCATAATTTTTTCTTATTTAAATAATAATCTTTTTAGTTAATACAGGGACCAAACGCGTAACAAAAACAAACAGTAGAGACCAATCGCGTAACAAAAACCAACAATAGTGACTTTCCGAGTTAAAAAAATAAGTTAGAGACCAAACGCACAAATTACTCTAAATCATAGGGACCATTCGTGTAATTTACTCAAAATAAAATATTAAATAACTTTATATCGTAAATATGTTTAAAATATCTATTGGATAAATAAGTTTTTAAGTGAGTATTTTTTTTTTAAATGGGCAAAATTCTGGATTTCACTTATGTAAATATTCAACTAAGTAGGGGTGCAAACGTGTCAAACTACTTGTGAGTTACTCGGGATCGGATCGTTAAAAGCTCGACTCGAAACCGATTTTAAACGAGCCCGAGTCGAGCTCGAGCTTATTATTAAGCTCGTTTAATAAATGAGCTCGAGCTCGAGCCTATGTCACTAAGCTCGATTAGGCCCGCGAGCCTAAACGAGCATTTATATAATATAATTTATTATTATTTTTCTATATTAAAATAAAAACATATTTATGGATTAGGGATTTAGGGTATTAGTAAACGAGCTTCTTAACGAGTTCGAGCCAAGCTTAAGCTTATTTAAGCACGTCAGACAAAAAACGAGTCGAGCCCGAACCCGAGTCAAGCTTGTATAATTATTTACGAGCTCGAACCAAGCTCAGTACAAGAAGCTCGAATCGAGCCGAGCTCAAACTCGAGCCTCGTTAAGCTTAAACGAGCCCGAGCCAAGCCTGCCCAGGCTCGGACTCGGCTCGGTTCGTTTGCACCCCTAATTAGGGATTTAGGGAACCAAGGTCAAGTTATTTAAGCTCAAATTATTCGACCCGTTTTCACGTGAAACGCACGTGCGCTGCTTCAAAGACGGTGCTGCCGTTTTACAGTTTCACTCGATACAGGCGGAGCAAAAGAAAATGTCCTCGAACGTCGTGGTGGTTCTCGACAACGGCGGCGGTCTAATTAAGGCAGGCATCGGCGGTGAGCGTGATCCAACAACCGTAGTCCCAAACTGCACTGCTCGTCCGCTTTCCTCCAAGAAATTCCTCCTAGCGGACCAACTTCTGTCTCCAACGGAAGACCTAACCTCCGCTGTTCTCCGCCGTCCCTTCGACCGTGGTTACCTCATCAACCAAGACCTCCAATCGACCATCTGGTCACACATCTTCTCTTCTCTCCTCCACGTCACACCTTCCTCCTCGTCACTCCTCCTCACCGAACCCTTATTCAACCTCCCTTCAATCCAACGCGCCACCGACGAAATCGTCTTCGAGGAGTTCAATTTCAAATCACTGTTCGTCTCCGATTCACCGTCTCTAGTTCACTTATACGAGGCCAGTAGACGCCCTTACGACGTCGTGTCGAAGGCGCAATGTAGCCTTGTGGTGGACGTAGGGTTCAGTTTCACTCACGTAGCGCCGGTTTTCCAGAACTTCACTGTGAATTACGGCGTGAAGAGAATGGATTTGGGCGGGAAGGCATTGACGAATTACTTGAAAGAACTAGTGAGCTATAGGTCTATCAATGTGATGGATGAAACTTTCTTAATGGATGACGTCAAAGAAAAACTATGCTTTGTTTCAACAGATATCGCTCGTGATTTGCAGATCGCTAGGTAAGTTCTGCAAAATTGAATTAGGGTTTATCCATCTTGATTCGATTTTGGTTGATTTGGGTTTTTTTGTTACAGGAGACGTGGAAATGACAATTACTTTAGGTGTACATATGTGCTTCCTGATGGAATCACACACATCAAGGGATTCGTGAAAGACCCTGTTGAAGCACAAAAATATCTTACATTATCTGAAAATGGTGAACTCCCACATGAAGGAACTGAAGAAGACGATCAAACAGAAGTTAAAAGCAAACCAACAGAAAGAAACAAAGTTGATCTTACCAAAAATGTAAAAAAATCTCTACATTTTGTTTCAAGATTAGTCCTTTATTCAATTAAACCACTTGATAAACCCTTTATGTAATTGAAAACACAGGAATTCAGCTTGAGCAATGAGCGATTTCTTGTCCCTGAAATGATCTTTCGTCCAGCTGATTTGGGTATGTTTAATACAGAAGATTAATTGGATTATTTAATTTATTTTATTATTATTTTTTTGTTTAATTGTGAATATGATACAGGAATGAATCAGGCTGGATTGGCAGAATGTATTGTAAGGGCTGTCAATGCATGTCATCCTCATCTTCATCCCGTGCTGTATGAAAGGTAGAGTGTTACATGTTAATATTTTTGTTTGGGTTAAATGCAAGAAATAACAATGCACTTTTATTGATTTGTTTATTATAGCATTTTCATTTTTTCCTATTATAACATTATATTTTGAAAAATCTACTAAATTAGAACAATATGATCATAATACAAAGCAATTATCACTGCACTAGTTGGATTGATTTTTCAAAGTATAATGTCCTAATATGAAAAACATTGAAAGTAGAATGCTATAAATTATAATCATGTGGATTTTTCAAAGTACAATGCTTTAATAAGAAAAAGAATTGAAACTACAATGCTATAATACAAAGAAATGAAAATAGAATGTTATAATAAACAAATAAATAAAAGCACATTGCTATTTCTTGCATTTATCTCTTTTTTCACTTCATCGCTCTAAAAAACCAAAAACTTGTTTTACAGTATAATTTTAACGGGCGGAAGCACATTATTTCCAAATTTTGCCAAAAGATTGTAAGTTTCACTTTCACCCCCCCTCTTCCTTTATTTATAAATCTATTTCTCAAGTTTATCAAAGCCTTATTATAATTATAATTTATATATATAATATGGTTTATATTTTACAGAGAAAGTGAGCTGCGACCTCTTGTTCCGGATGTGTACCAAGTGAAAATAACAACTCAAGAAGAGTAAAAATATTATTTTTTTCAAGTTTTTTCAGTATTTTTAATGAAAAAATACATAAAAGCCACTTTATTTTGGCCGTTTTTGTGGTTTAACCAATATATATATTTTATTTTCGTCGTAACAAATTTTTTTATGTCAATCGTCAACCAGTTTGACCTGCTATGATCTGTATAGCAGGTTAAAGCGGTTGCACTGGAATTTTGTCAAAGTTTAGTGGTTAAACGACAAAAGTTGCCAAAATATAGTGGATTTTATATATTTCGCCCTATTTTTAATGATTTTTATTTTTCCCTTTAATGAATTTATTTATTTATTTATTTTTGTAGTCCCATATTGGGGGTGTGGCGAGGGGGATCACTATTGGCTTCTAGTCCTGATTTTGATGCAATGTGTGTCACAAAGGCTGAATATGAGGAGCTTGGGTCCTCACGTTGTCGTAGGCGATTCTTTCATTAGTTTATAATTAATTAAAAGGTAAATTGGACTTTATAATATTTATTTGATCGTTTGTTTTTAATGTTATTTAATATTTTTATTTGGATGTTAATTTGGTATGAGAGAAAATGAAGACGTGATAGGTGATGTAACATGATGTTGGCGAATAAAAATCAAATAAAGAAACAAGAAATGAAAATTATATGAGCTTAAATCCCATAACCACCTGTTACATTTGTGTTTTAATTTGATTCTATATTAAAATTTAACAAAAAAAAAAAATTTACTAAAAGATAATTGTTATGGTTTTTAGCATATATAATCTATTAAAAATTTGTTATCATATAAGAAAAAACAAAGCGGGCTTAAAATTTTGTTTATTAAAAAAAAGATTCCAAAACCAAAATGTTATTTGGTTATTTGTTTTTTCCACACTCAATTGGGGGTTGATGTGGCTCCACACTTGAACAAACAGCTAGCTAGCTGATTGATGTGAAAAAAGCAGGTGGGTACCACAATGGAAAATGTTAGAAACGTTGTAAATGAATAAAAAGGGAAAATACCGCTAATAGACAAAAAAAAATTGGGGTCAATTTCAAAATTTAGTCATAAAAAATGATTTTTCCGGCTATAGACACGCATTCCGCGGAGGACCCTCTGCGGACCTCCGCGGAGCGTTGTTTCCACCGCGGAATCTAATAAAGTGACAATTTTTTATTGTTTACAAAATTGCTCCGCGGGGTCCTCTGCGGAGACATTAACCCCTCCGCGGAGGGGATGGTTGGTTGGAGTTTTAATCCCTCCGCAGAGCCAGTGGCGAGGAGCTCCGCGAAGAGATTAATGATTCCGCGGAATGAATGGTTGGAACGTTTTTTGACGGATTTTTTGATACAAATGTTGTTTTTTCATTTTCTTATCTCCATTTGCGATCAAATTTGTCTAGTGTTACTAATTTATTTTCCAAAAGAAAGATGAGTTTTGTTATTCTATGTACCGGAGGTTTTTGGCAGATAAGTAATGGGGTTAACACCTACGTTAGACCTAAGTTTAACAACTTAGGTATACTGCTTCTGCCAAACTTTGATCGTCGAATATTGTTTGATTTGGTCAAAAGTAAGGCTAATTTGTTCCATAGTAATATATCATTGTCATTTCAACACCCGGTTCATGGGTATGTTATGAATATTATAGACGAAACAGATGTTCATCAACTCAGAAATGTAATTTCTAAAACGAAGGAGATTGTGCATTTGTATTTGGAGGTGTTTGAGGGATGGGTCGAACCGACAGAAGCGGTTG